ATAACCACGCCCACATCCCATATAACGGTAATTTAGAGAAATACAAAATCTTCGATAAATCAGTAAATATTGAAGCTAATTTATTCAAAATTGATACTTGCAACAATTCTTTACCAAGAAATACGTTTATGGTAAAATTTTGGAAAATGGGCATGGCACCGCCCACTTATGATCACATATATGTATATCGGTAACCGTTCTACCAATTTATACCAAACTCGGTGTGGTTATTGTGCTTGCCACATATAAGCAAAACGTTGAAAATTATTGAAATCGGACTAAAATAACGGCCGCTTCTCATATAACGGTAAATTTCAGAAATGCTTGAAACTTCAATATTTCGAAATTGAAGGACGCTAATTTACTCAAAATTGATACACCCCGGCTTACCATCTAGCGGAAGGTTTCGGAAAGGTGAAAAAACATATTTAATACTTGCGCCGGGTATTTAATGTTCGGCTCCGCCCGAACTTAGACTTTCTTACTTGTTTTTTTTTTGTTTTGTTTGCGTGTGTTTGCATGCCTTGTGGCACAAACACTTGACTTGCAGTAGCAACAGCAGTAAGTAGTGGCAACGCTTAAATTTATGTGTGTATGAGTGTGCATGCAGCAGCAACAACTAAGCAACATGATTTCTGCTAAACGCCTCAAGTTTTGCATAATTTATGCATGTTTACGATGACGACAAATGCACCACTAGCAACAACGTCTCTTGTGCCAGCTTGCATATTTGTTGCATGCAACAAGCGCTATACAACACACACACATTGCCAATGCGGCAATCGATCTATGTCCAGTCGCTTGCTACAAAGGCTTTTCTTTTGTTGTGGGTTTTCTAGCCGCCTGCTTATGGCAAAGCGCTCACAATATTGTGGCATGTTGCATGCCTTCAACGAAAATAAAACAAAAAATACATACATACATATGTATGTACATGAGTGAGGGGGGAAAGAAATTTTTTCTGTCAGCTTGGCCGTATAAAATTTAAATAAAATTGTATTTCATAAACACGCGTGCAAGGCAGCGGTAGCAGTTTGAGGAGCGAGCAGTTAAAAAGCAGACAATAAACCAAAAAAGTAAAGCATTTTTGCATAACTAAGCACACTAACAAAACTGTCATCGCTTTCAATACTTTCGAACACTTGCCACAATCCTGGTTGGCAGAACTTATTTTTCTTCCCATAACTTTTTCTTTGCGCCAGGGGAAACATGTTATGTCTTCATTTAATGCATTTTTTGCAAATTTATTTTAATTTCAGCACCTTTTCTTTTTGTTTCGTTAGCTAGTAGCTCTGGGTTATCTTTAGAATTCCATGTCACGCGATAAGTTAGCGCTAAAAAGAGATTGTGCAGAAGTAGCACGACGTTGCAAGAAGTAGAAAAAATGTATGCTGCAAATTTGCAACTTAAAGCGAATCGTTGCTTAATGGCCCATTTAAGCTTTGATTTTATCAGCTCTACCTTTTTTCTGTATGCATATACCTTTTTGATTTTTATACCTTTCATGAGCATGAATTGGTATTATAACTTTGGTCCGATGTTTGTAAGTACCGCAGTAAAAAGAGATAGACCCATTAAAATGTGTACTTATACGATCATAACGAGGAGCTGAGTCGATTTAGCCATGCCCGTCTGTCCGTCAGTCCGTTTGTCCGTCTATTCGTCTGTTTGTATGCAATCTATTCTCTCCGTTTTCGAGATATCCGGATGAAATTTTGTAAGTGGGTGTATTTTTATATTGTATTAATCATTTGTCGAAACCGGAAGAATCGAACCACTATAACATATAGCTCCCATACAACTGATTGTTCAGATATAAGATTTTTCGTTACTACTCCTCCATTTATGCAGCTGTGAACATGAAATTTCGCACTATTTCCACCGATTATCAAAGAAATATTTACAGTGAAAATGGTGAAGATTTGGTCGCTATACCTCGACCTGAGGCGACGATATTTGATAGCAAATACCTAAATGGCTATTAAAAAAGTTATGTCAAAAATTATTGGCTGTTGGTTGATTCTTTTCATCATCTCTTGAAGAATTTGGTCTGAATAAAATTTTTTTAAGGATTTTTATCAAAAACCTTAGTTAATTTAAATTCTTTATTCAACCATTTATAAAATTTAAAACTAAATAACAAAAAAATTTATAAATGCACACACGCAAAAAAACATTAGGTATGCGCTGCGTTATCAGCTCCTTTTTATATAAAATGTCAACAAAATAACGCATCGATACAGTCAAATGTGGCAAATAAGACTGAACAACTTATAAACAGAATAAATTGAGTATAGTTGCTAAGAATATTTACTGAGGTGATATACGTAAGTTAGTATGTGTATACATTTATTGTGACTGCAATGCGATACTGAATATCGCATTGACCTGCTTATTTGAGTATTAAGTAGGTAAATATTTGTCACAAGCGCTGTGGCAGAAGTTGCAATAACAACAACAACTACGGTGAAAACAAAAACAAAAAAACGGCAACAACTTTACCAACAATCAACCACAGTAATGAAATAGGACTGAATGCGATTTCGAATGAGTACAAAAAAACAGTGAAAATTAAGCGCAAGAAGCAATCTGCAACAAAAGGCATTTGGAAAAAGAGAGGCCGTACAAAAAGGCTTAACAACAACAAAAATCCTTAAATGGGATATGTTTGCGTACAAAATGAGCGATAAATGAAAAACTTAACACTTTTTGCCGATCAGCCGAGCTGGCAATCAGCCAACCAGCTTTATTTACAGCCATGCCAATGCAAACAGATGTAAGAGTATGCAATTTTTTTTTTTTAATCAAGTGCAAGTGGTGTGGTAAGCAATAGGTATGCATACACACACGGACTTGCATTCTGAACAAGTTGGTCGCATTGATTTATCGAAGCCACAATCGTATGGGTGGGTGGCGCTGAAAAAAATTATTTCATTATAAAGTCATTAAGCACGAAATTACGTATATTCATGCACACAACGCACTCACAATATACATAAAAAAAAATACGAAAATAAAGTAGAACTGCAGTAATTTGCACATTCACAAGCCATATGACTTTATTTGGCGCCATGCGAAAATTACAACATTTTGTTTGTTATGGGTATATTGTCCATACATATTTGGAGATATAAATCAAAAGAGTAACATTTACACAGAGCTGCTCAGTTCAGTCGTACTAATTGTGAATAAATCGTAAAAACGAATTTAATTTCAGTATCAGTGCAAATTTTCCTTTGAACATTTTTATTAAAAACTCTCTACCCATTCGCACTCCACTGTCAAAGTACATTTGCGTAAATATTTTGCAGAAATAAAAATGCACGCATAACAAAGTTATATATGTTACTAGCTTTGTTGCCGCTTTTGTTGTATGCAATAAATTTACGTATGCGGCTAAAGAGCAGCGAATGGCTGTGGCTGTGCGTAAATTGACAGTTTGGGTTCTCGGTTAATTTACACTTCGATATTACAATTGAAAACCTCATTTATTTGCGATGGTAGAAATTAAATGAAAATTAAAAAAAAAATTAATTTTAAAGTCGAAAAATATAGTCAGATATTGACAAGATTTTACTACTTATTTTATTATTTTTTAATTCTATTTTTTTTTTTTCGTAAAAGTCTAGTTTATTCTTCAACAAAAACCATACAAATCTAAGTTTCAATGTTTGTGCAATATTTATATATGTATACTTCATAGAAATATTTTAAGCATACTCTGTTTGTAGCCCATTCAATTCTAGTATAATAAAGTAAAAATTTGCAGTAGATTTTTAGTATTTTTTTGCTGACTATGTTGAGTATTTCTTCCATACAAAGTGTGTTCGACAATTTCTTAATATATGGAAAAAAATTAGCAACACCTGCAACAAAAAAAAAAATAAATAAATAATCAACGGTAAGTCCCAGCCACTTTATACTTACACTTTATTGTACGACAGTAGAATTGACTACAAAATTTCATACTCAAAATATTGCCAACTAGTTTTAAAAATATTGCACAAAGTTCGAAACATGGATTTATACGCTTACATATATGTAAGTGCCAATCTATATATGGGGTGTTCCATACCAAAACGGACTGGGTTCACACTTCATGTGTTTGATTTGTTACAAATGCTTAGAGTTGATGGGTAAACATAAATAATAAATAAATATGGAATTTGAGCTGGATTAATACATTTTTATCAACTTTACAGCACAAAAACAAAAACAAATCGATTTAATAGTCTTCCAAATATCTCGAGTACGGTGCGAGATAAAAATTTGAAAAAAACACATATAAACACAGGAAAAATTCTCTAAGAAAAAAAATATGAATTTTTTTAATTTTTTTTCTTGAAAAATTTTTCACATACAAATTTTTTGATAAAAAAAAATAGTTTTTTAAAAATATGCCATCTCAAAAAAAAAATTGAAAAAAATCTCACAATATTTAAGTATAGTATTATTGCGCAATAATCAGAGCTGCCATTGTGATTTTAAAAATTTTTTTTTTTTAGATGGCATATTTGAAAACTTTTTTTTATCAAAAAATTTTTGGGAAAAATTTTCCAGAAAAAAAATCAAAATAATTAATTTCATAGTGAATTTTGATGTGTGTATGTGTAACTTTTTCAAATTTTTTTCTCGCCCCGTTCTAGAGATATTTGGAAAACTATTAAATCGATTTGTTATTGTTTTTGTGTTGAAAAGTTTTCAAAAATGTAATAATCAATCTAAAATTTCATATTTATTTATTATTTATATTTATCTATGAACCCTAAAAATTTTCCATTTTTGGTATAAACTTTATTTTGATAACAAAAATTTAAATTTAAAAATAACGAAAAAATAGTTAAATCTTGAATGCGCTATCCTTGTAAATAAATGTTTGTTGAGTTTTTTTTTTATCACAGAAAGCGCGTGCTCTTTACAATTTTCTTTCTCAATTAAGTACTGTAACCACAATTTCTCATTGTCTGTTGAACTAACTTTTTTTTTACGCCTTGTTGCAGGTTGTCGAATTAATTGATGCCGCAGCAATTAATTCCACTGCTGTACGCTTGGATTGGGTAATGCATGTGAGTGTGACGGAGAAGTATGTTGAGGTAAGTTTGACGCTTGTATGACTTCATGTTTTTAATTCTCTGTTACATGCATTCACATGTCATACTTATATACTTATAAAACACAATATCCCAGCCAGCCATACGCGGACCGCTTCGAATATGGGGTGAAATGTGAGTCAAAGTGTTTTTTGCACCTTGTGCACTCTGTTGGTTGGCTGGGATATTCGTTATTTATTGTACATACACACATACATATATATTTTGAACATGCTGATTTTATTTAATTGCATAATTAAACAATTTTCTACATATATATTTTCATTCATTGTCTTCGCCTTACTTGCATGATTTCTCCTTCTACCCTTTGCTTTATGAAACAGGGTCTTTATGTGCGTTACCGTGACATAAGCGCCAACTCGCAACAATATAATATTTTAACTGTGCTGAATCCATCGATTGAATCACATGTGGTTGGCAATCTGAAGGAGTATACGAAATACGAGTTCTTCCTTGCGCCATTCTATCAAACATTGGAGGGCCAGCCAAGCAATTCGAAGATTGTACAGACTTACGAAGATGGTGAGTACCTACCTTTGTACGTATGTTAATGAAAAAGCGGTAAAACAAAAAGGACATTTTTTTACACTAACAAAATACAACAACCTTAGGCCGGTTTCATTTGATCAGAAATTTAAGCTATTAGCTTCGTTTCTATGGAAGAGTTAGCAAATATAATTATATCAGCCGATAAAATTCATGAGTTTTTTTTATAGCCTTGTAAAATTGTATGTACCGAAGGTTGTTTGTTCTTTTATTGAAGTGTTCACGGCCTCACCTTGCTTCAAAAAAAATTTAATCAGTTAATTGCCAAAGTAAAAAAATAGGCAGCATTTTTCGATAAGACAATTTTGATGTATTTAGTTGGGTTCGTTTAAAGGAGCTCTATTGCACTGCATCAGATTTGCCAAATCGGAAATCGGATTTTTGAATGAGGGGAAAAACAGTTATTTCAGGAGGAAGAAAAAATATTATATCAGGAAATAATTTTTATAAAACGAGAGCTAGTTCGTGCAAAGCTGAAGGAAGAAATGTAGTAACAAAAGTCTAGAATACATTTAGACTACACTTCTGTATGGGGTCGTAGGTGGGACGCTTGATAAAAAAAAAAAAAAAAATCCAGAGCAACGTATAGGAATGAAGTTCACGCGCTCCACTGATGGAAATCTTGTCAAATAAATACATACATATGTGCTATGTGAAAGACTCAAGCCCTTCATGAACCAACTGGATGGACCTTATAAGTGTGGCTCCAAAACAGGCATTGAAAAGGATAAGCAAAACAACCAAATAAGCATAAACAGATAAATAGATAAGTCTGAAAATCAATCGAAAAACGACAAAAATGAAAATCAGAGACCTTAAGCTCCCCAAATTCCTCCGAGTGGATGATGTTAAACAAATATAAGATGGTCAGGTTCTTCGAGTCTTTCGATAGAACTATTTTATACCAAATCTATGTTCCTGTTTCTATGTTTCTACTACATGCACATAGTTAAGCCCCAAAATACAAACTGTTTTAGTGCCGAATTAGAAGATACAGACTTGTAAAACTAACTGCTTAAAAGCCGGCAGGGTTTTAGAAGCCGTCATGTTAAGAGTAAGATGTTAATAGTAACTGCTTAAGTAGCTGAAAGTTCTGTTGTCTCACATTCTAGATTCGATCATTTTCGATGGAGATAATTATTCAGTCTCGGAGCTACCAATATACATACAGTGATTAAAATTTTTTTCAAGCTAAACTTTTTTTGTTATTTCTATATAAAAATATGATTAACCAAATTTAAAAACAGCGGTTTTTAGAAAAACCGATGTTTTTTGAACATCCCTAATACACATTCCGCCTAAATAACAATCAAAAGATGTTGAATGGCAGGAGAAATCGGCCATACTTAAATGAAGAAAAAATTAATCGTTCTTTTTATAATTGTGTCATTCGTTTCAAGATTTTCTGAATAGGATTCTTATTAAAACACTCAAAAAGAGATCTATTAAGGAATAACATTCAAAGCTGAAATTAACCAATAAACCATCAAGTTTGTTGTAACAATACATAAAAGAATTTATATTTGGTGTCTAGACTGCTATCTTATGCTGACTACACACAAGGCAACCGTTGAAGCAACCAG